TGGTAAAAGGGATTCTGAGACCAAAGTTTAAAAACTGTTCTTTTTTACTTTGACCTAGGGAGTGATTACACGGCTATTCCTACTCTGTAATAAATAATTGTTGTACTTTATTCATTCTGTATATTTTAATAAAAATGTTTATTTGCCTCCAAATAAAAGGGATTATCTAGGGTTGTGGAGAGTATTTCTAATTTGAGTAATAGGAAAGAATAAGCAGTCAAGAAAAACCATGGATGTTTGCAAAGTTTTTTTTGAAAATTTTTTTAATTGTGTAGTTTTATAGTTTTGAAATTACTCTTAGGAATCAATAATGTGGTTTTTATCAAAGTTTAATTTGAAATATGAGGGGGCTTCATGAAGTTCATGAAAAAGAATGGGATTTTCCCATGAACTCCTCTGAGGCCCCATTTGTGTTTACCAGAAAAGTCTGTGCCATGTTTTCTTGTTTGTTTTCATACCTCATTCTTCTTTACTCTCTTACATATTTCTTAGACACATAATTGCTCTCATGTGAATGTGAGTTCAGTTTTGTCTTACATAGAGATTCATATGGTTTAGTTTTCTGCATATTCTGCCGTTTGGCAAAAGCATCGAGTATAATCCCATTTTCTGCTCAGAGGAGCATAAAGATGGCTCAGTTGCTTACCAGATGGAGCAAATACTTAGGGAATGAGCAGAAAGCACTGTGAGGGGTGTGGTTACTTACTGAAGATTCAAGGAGCTAAAAGTCTAGTCGGGGTTGAACGTTATCTAGACCATAAAGCCAAATGGTTCTCGTGAAGCAGGAGAACAGAAAGGAAAGTTGCTAGTTGCATATGAACAGAACCTCGAAGGATAATTAGGCTAATTTTTTAATTCTTTTTGTTTCTAATTAAAAACTAATTCAGTTTACAAATAAGCAGATTGAAGCATTGTAAAAATACACGATCAGTGGTAAAAATTGAAGACCTTTGTTAATAGGAAGCTCTTCACATCTTGTATTACTTTAAAAGATTGGATCGCATTTAGGATTTTACAAATGTGTTTCCAGTTTTCAAGATTCTTAACTATGATACCTATAAAAAAATACCTAATTTAATTTTTGTTTCATCCTCTTTTTTTAAGCCTAAGATTCTAATTGAATAATGCACTTGTTTTTCTTAAAGACTGAGAAAAAACAAATGTGTGCATTGTAGAACTATTTTGCAATCTAAAGTTTCTTTATCTCCCATTCATTATGTATTGATGGACCAAATATACCAGCTAGTAAATTGAGTTTATATACCTCTAATTTATGTCCTTTTGTGTGAGAGTGCCGACAAAATTATTCCATGGTGAACATGATATTATTGATAGGGGATACACACGACAGAAAAGACCACTAACATGTTTATCTTCCTGCCATTGTAGCCTTACTGAAAAGGTACTCATTATACTTGGTGCTACTTTTCTTTTCATTCTAGGTAACGTTGTACAACACCGATCAGGATGGTAGTGATAGCCCACGCAGTAGCCTTAACAACAGTCTCTCAGACCAGAGTTTGGCATCTGTTAATTTGAACAGTGTTGGAAGTGTGCATAGTTATACACCGGTAAGTCTTTGGGGAGTTAGCTTTATTTTTGAGTACTCATTTTGTGCTTAAAACTAAATAAAATGCAATTAAAAAGTAAATAACAAGAAAAGATAGTATTTCTCACTTGTCACTCATTAACATAGATAAATATATTAACACTTAACGAGCAAATTTCTAACTTGTATTTTGAGTACTTTAATCACGTTAAATACCAGTATGTGGTTTGCTATGGTGTTTGTGTTTATTTATTTTACTCCATGTATTGGTTATGCATTGGGCTGTTAACTGCAAGGCCAGCAATTTGAAACCACTAACCGATTTGTGGGAGAAAGATAAGAGTTTTCTATTCCCATAAAGAGTTATAGACTTTGAAATTCACGGGAAGTTCTTAGGGTTGCTATGAGCCATAGTTTGGTGCTTTAAAAAAATTTTTTTTATATTCAAATGATAGCAACTGGAATAGAAAAAAAAATCTACTTCCATCTAACAGTTACATTGATGAATTTCTAAAGTTCTGGGGGGGGAGGGGGCATAAAGGATGTAAATGTCAATTTGTTTTCTAGCCATAGATCAAAGGAGGGGATTCTGAAAACTCCAAAGTTAGGATAGATTGGTATTCAATTTTTAACTATCATCTTCAATTTTGGTCTGGAAAATAATGGTATGCTATTCTTGCTCCATGCTGATTTTGTTACCTGATTCTCTTTCACTGTCATTGAGTTGATCCCGACCCGTAGTGACCCTATAGAACAGGGTAGAACTTCCCCTGTGAGTTTCCAAAACTGTAACTCTTTATGGGTGTAGAGAGCTCCATCTTTCTTCTGTTACCTGATTATAAGAACATTATCCATGGGTTTCTTGATATATTTTTGAAACCTTCTGGCAATGAATCCTTCTCTCCACTGGACGGAATACAGAGCCCAAGAACCACACGTGCTGTTAGTCAGTATAAATTTGATATCATCACTCTGTTCCAAGATAAGTATATAGAAAAACACTACATGGGACAAAAGACATAGAGGGAAGACCTTGACATACAAAAACACGCAGGAATTAAAAACTCAGCGGAATTAGAATTCTTAGGGAATGTAAGAAAAAAGAAAATTGCTTCTACAAAACTGGTATTAGTGCTGGTAACTGGAGGAGTGGAGCCATTTGTTCAGAGCGGATAAGAAATCGACCCCACCAAAAGATGTAAAAGAAGATGTATAGGACTGAGAATCTTAAGTGTTCCTATGGAAGAAACCCCAATCATTGGTAAAGAAGCAGTTTTCAGAAGAAATGTATATTTAAAGAATTACTGAATTTAGGGAAAATGTGTTGGGTATGGGAAGTCTAGAAATAGGGGAAATTTTAGAATTGTCAAGATAATCACCAAAAAAAATACTCTGATTGAAGAAATGTTACATTAAAAAACAATATCAATGAGACTTCCATAATACAAAATTTCAGATGATTATATTCAGTTTTGAGGAAATAGGTTTGAAATTAAAATCTTTTCAGCCAATTTTTCATTAATTTGTGAAAACCAGAGGAAAAAAATCTTTTATGCGCAGTTCTTAGAACATATCATATCCTACCCTTGTTTTCATATGTGCTTCCTGGAAAAAATTAGTTTATCAAGAGATAATCCAAACACTCAGTAATGACAAAATCGTGGTATAAAAGCAGTAGTTGGAGCATTTAAACAAACTAAGCAAAGGTTTAATGATTCTAAGTTGCTTTTAAAATAACGTAAGCATTAAAAAAAATCTTAACCCAGAGAAACCAAGGAGCCCAACAGGATGGTGCCACATGTCCAGTAAGAGGGAAGTAAGGAGGCATCAGTACAAGTAGATGACCGGTCTAAGGAAAGCATATTCATTATGCCCAGTAAACGTCAGTGGGCTACAGGCCTCTACCCAAAGCTGGAGATATTATAAACTGCTTTTCCCACTTGACGAAATGTCTAGCCATCTGTAAGTAACACGGTGGCAGCTGTTGGTTGGGCATGCCACATAGCCTTAGATTCTGTCTGTAAGGACACAGCCCAAATGGATTGAGATAATTTCATTACTTACAGAAACACCCCAAGTCAGGTCAGCTTATTAGTTCTCCACTTCCCACTGAAAGACACCAACCCAGAGGGCCAGGTGACAGGCTTCATGAGAGGTAGATCACTCTATACTGGAAGAACAAATTCCATACCGAATCTAAGCAGTTTTATAACCTGCAGCTGTATTCTTAGGGGAGACATAGGAAGTCTTAAGCATCAGTAGAACCCAGGAGGTAGATGTCTTTCCCTTGCCGAATACTAGGTGCCTTCTGCGAGATTCGGAGATGTGTAAGACACTTCTCCGTGGCCATCTCTTGCACGATTGGGAGGTGGATGAGAAACTCAAAAACTCACTGTCAATGCCAAGCCTCTAGGATGGTAGAACTACCCCTGTGAGTTTCCCAGATTGACCCTTAAGTTAGTAGAAATCCTCAGTCTTCTGCACAGCAGTTAGTAATTTCGAATCACCAAAGTTGCAGCTAGCAGCCCATTGTGTAACCACTACACCATCAGGGTTCCTAGGTGAGAAATAGCCATGAGAATTTGCTCCACTTACAACTTCCTGCCATCTCCCATGTTCTGGGTTAGCCTGCTTCGGTTAGCCTGCTATTTACTAAGCTTTGTCTATATAGCCTATGTTGAGGTGGGTGCCAGAGTACCATGTGGAGCTGTTCCCTATAAACGTTCACATTTTCCATGTTATTGCAGACCCTTTAAGTGCACCATTTTGAATGGCTGTATACATTTCGATACCTGTTTATACCATAATCTTTCAAAGTACTAACCAAATGTAATCTTAAGAAATACAGCTAATCTTATATTAAATTTTAGTTGTACCACTTTGAAAGATTTCAAAGATAATTGATATTTTTTAGGTGTTTGCCTTCCCATCTAGGTCAAGGCTGCAGTTTATTCTGTGTCCTTAGAATTTCCTTATTTAAAAAAATTTTTTTTAATTTTTAAAATTTCTTTTCAATTTCATATCTCTCCACCCCCACCCTCTTTTAAAAAACTTTCCTAGCAATGAAGAGTTCAGTGTACTGAAACTCAATGCTGCTTTAGGTTGAGCACTGTCCCACAACCTGACTCAATAGTCACAGTATTTAAGTTTAAACACTTACCGATTCTTTGAATAAATGAATGAAAATTGTTAGTAGCATCATAGAATGAAGGGACTTCAAAAATTTTGTGGAAAACGGCATTAAAAAATGGAAAGTTTCTATGAACTTTTTGAAACCCCCTCATATAGTGAAATTTGAGATTAAATTGTTTGTGTAGAACCAAGATGAAGATCCTAGAGAAATAGAATTCTAGACCTAACTCATCACTTTGTGCTCTTAGACATGTTATTTAATTTCTTTGACCTCTCCTGTATGTCAGATTCAGAGGTTGGATTAGAGCTTTACTATTCTTGAGGCGCTACTTCAACACTTTTGTGTTCTGTCCTTCATGTGCACTAAAACTTAAGAGTGGGGACAAAGGACCAAGGACATTTTTCCTTCACACTGTTTTCACTCGTATGTTTTGTGTAACAACCCAGTTCTGACACAGACCCACTCGATCAGTAGTGTCTCGTTTTCATGTTAGGTGACCAGCCACCCAGAACCAGTCTCTCAGTCATTAACTCCTCAGCAGCAGCCGCAGTATAACGTGCCGGAACGAGACAAACAGCTACTTTTCTCAGAATATAATTTTGAAGATCTCAGTGCCTCATTCCGGAGTCTTTATAAATCAGTCTTTGAGCAGTCTCTCAGTCAACAAGGTGAGCTTTCTATTGAGATGTTACCATTTCTTAGTAATTCTTTGTACGGCGTAGCTGGTACATTTCCTGAATGTTAAAGCATTATCATAATCTGTATTGAATTAAGCCTCTTGTATTTCTGTATTGTAATTCTTAATTCTGTATTGAATTAAGCCTCTTGTAAGCCTATTGTGCTCGGTATATGTTTATATCACAACACAAGAATGGCAGGTTTGTTACATATGGCCTGCTTACATCACTTGATGAACTGTGGTGACCTGGGAGCATTGTGTTTCAGGATTCTGACCTTCACCTGTGTCACATGGGAAACATGGCTGCATGTTAATTGCATCTGAACCAAATGCTAGATTGTTTGCTCTGGTAGATTTTTATTCCACTAGCTGTTGGTTTACTGATTTAGTCATGTGATTGGATCAGAATGTCACACAGAACACCAGTTAGAAGTTGTTGGAAAGTCTACTGTTGAAGTATTTCCTAATTACTTTACTTGGCAGGTGAACTGTTTATACCTTTACTCAGAGATCTAGCCCATAGCTTTCTACTATAATGGATGCTATTATAGCTTTGTAATTGTTATTCTTATGGCATCTATATATTAATACTTATTATTGGCAGATATTATGGAAGTTAATATTATAAATAGTGTATACATACTTACTTTATATATGTATACATAGAAGAGTTGTAGCTCTAGCTAGTATAAGGAGAGGGGTTTTTTTGGTTCACGTTTGAGTTGAAGGTATGACTTAATATATTTTCTCTAAACTTTTGTTTAACTGGGTATCTATAAAATGAAATTTAAAAAATCTTACAAGGCTTTTCTAAGTCTTAACTGTAGTTGATCATAACAGAAATACCTAGCTTTGCAATAGCAATGACGGTAAATTTCTAAGACCATTTCATCATATTATAATAAAAAGGATTGATAGGAATTCTGGGTTCTAGTCCGCGTTCTACCATAAATCAAGCAAGCTAACTTCACCTGTTGGGTTCTCATCTTCCTTAAATGTGGAATGAAAAGAATTGGATTGAATAGCTGGTTTTCAAGTTGTTCTTCACAGAGCCCTTGTCTTTTGTTACAGCCGTGGGGACTGCTGTGGGGAAAAGCGTGTGGCTAAAGACGAGCCCTAGCAGGCTTCTTTCCCAGCGTGAGAAGAAGCGACTTTATGTCCATCAGTCCTGCATATTGGGCTTCTGAGCGATAACTCTTTAAAAAATAATAATATGAGATGAACTATGTATGCATAGATCCTATCAGGGTTTCATTGAAAAATGCTAGGGTTTTCATGGAAATCATTGAATTCTTGTTTTCTTTTATCTTACTACAATATCCCTAAGTATCCATTTTAATGACAGATTGTCTGGGCCAACGCAAGAATTTAATCAACCTTTTTCCCTATGAGATAAGATATTAGGATTATCAATGATATAAACAATACACTCAAATACAATTTTAATGTTAGTGACAAATATCAGGATAATTTTATCTCTGTTAAAAACTTTGATCCTTGTACTGACAGGGATTATCATGTGGGATTCTCCCTTCCTGCATTTAATGAAATTTTCTGTGTCTGGTTCAGCAAAGTAGTGTATGGGCCATATGATATAGCCTAGTTTCATAGAAGCAAATGTTGCATTAAGATTTATTAAAATGAGCCTTTACCTGCAAACCAAACATACGTTATTTTTAACATTAGGCACTTCTGGCCTAATCAGCAGCAGCAGCAGCATCCTAGCAGCTAACTTTTACTGAGCTCATCCTGCATCCTGCACTTGCACCTTGGCATTTAGTCCTCACAACAACTCTATGAAGTAGGTACTGTTATTATACCCATTTACCGTTGAGCTGATTGTGGCTCAGAGAGAGTCAGTAACTTTTTAAAGGTCCATGTTGTGTAAATAACAGTGCAGAGACTGAAATCTTCTACTTTCTGCTGCTGTGAAGTGTGCACTCTTTGTGCTTAAACCACACATCTCAAGAATGTTCCAGAAAGGAATGAAATGGAGCAGTGGAGATAACTATTTTGTTTTACTTAATCCTAAAGATCCTAGCCACTTTGGTAGACAAAGAAAGAACAGAAATACTAGATGGACTTGATTCAGCCTGCTTCTTCTGATAAAGCCTTGGTCTTCAGGCCTACAGAAAACCATTCTGAGCTTGATCCAACACTTTTCCTGATTCCCCCCAAGTATTTACTCATCTTTCAATACTCTTATTCAGACACTGCTACTATCTTGTCAAAGAAAACTTTCAGGTATAGTTTCTTTATACTGAACAAGTAAGAGGCACAGTTGGTCTTGTAATTTTCTCTATACCTTAGCATTTATAGTGTTGTCTGTAATCTCATTAAATGTCTTTCTTAAGTGGACCATGAGCTTCTGGAGGCTAGGGAATGATGTTTCTTCAGAGCCCATTGTATGACAGACAGTCCATAAACACTTGTTAAACTGAACCAAAGCGGCTTCCTGACAACATAATACCTTTGCTTTGTATATTATTTTGCAAATGTCTCATAAAATGCAGCTGAAATCTGCATTTTGATCTTGCTTTCTGTTTCTAGGTTTGATGAACATCCCTTCTGAACCTTCCCAGCAGTCCCACACTTCCTGTTCCTATCAGCATTCTCCTAGCAGCACAGTGAGCTCTCACCCACACAGCAACCAAAGTAGTCTATCCAACAGTCATGGCAGTGGCCTCAGTACCACAGGCAGTAATTCAGTTGCACAAGTCTCGCTGTCCCACCCTCAGATGCACACACAGCCGTCCCCACATCCGTCCCATCGACCCCATGGTTTAGCACAGCATCTGCAGCGTCCCCAGCACCCAGCACCACACCCACAGCAACACAGTCAGCTCCAGTCCCCTCACCCCCCGCACCCATCTCCTCACCAACACATGCAACACCATCCGAACCATCAGCACCAGACGTTAACACATCAGGCCCCCCAGGCCCCCCAACAAGTATCCTGTAATTCTGGTAAGTTTTTGTCTCAGCTTTTGTTTGCCTAACAGTGAATTATGATCTGTTTTTGGCTTTTAAATGTGGAGTTGCTGTGATCATTAGCCCTTAAACTGGTCTTGTCCATCTCCTTTTGTTTCCAGGTTAAAGTCCTGTAGTTCTCTTTCAGTCTATAGATTGACTTGGACTCACTAAGTAATCCTTTCAGGTCTTGGTTCTGTTTCATCCCATTCGAAGGGGTTTTGTGAGCATTTGAAAGGAGAAGTGAAAGCTGTCTTGAGATCCAGTGTGGTGTAGACGAAAGATTGTAAATTTATGCCAGAAAGATCTGTGTTTGAATTCTTAACTGGCATTTATGACGCAGGGCAAATTACGTCCTTTAGTCTTGTTTTCTCATCTATAAAAATGGCATTGAAATGCACTGCTCTAAAGTGCTGTCATGAGGCACAAACTGTGGTGATAAATGTGAAATGCCTGGACTACTCTCTTGCCTCTGGTTATTCAGTAAACACCCCCTTCCCTTTTTTGCTTATCCCTGCCAAGTAGCTCATTTAATTTACAAAGGACGGTGACATTCTTTATAACATACATCTATCACTGTTGAGATAGGATATGGTGGTTTCTAGTGAAGTGCTTAACCAACCGTGGGTCCAGACCTGGCAGAACTCCCGAGTGTCTGGACAAAGACATTAAGGTGAATGGGTCCCTCGGAGGTGCCCACACTTGCACCAGCTTGCCTGCCTGTCTACTTCCCAGCCATACCACTGGTGAAAGTTGTTTTTTTTTTTATCATGAGTGCAGTTTCTAAAGGTAAGACATCCTTAGTTTTTATTAACCAATTAAAACTTGATCAGTGTTTCAGGCAAGGAAGTGAGTTTAAGATAATGCCTACAGTTCTTGTAGTGTGACTTAGCTATGAAGCACCTTTCTGAAGATGCTTCTTAATTTACAAAATAGAAAAAGCAGGGTAAAAAGTTTGGAAGTCCAATGAGAATAAAGTACAAAAATCAGCAGGGTACCTGAAACTTGGTAAGTCCTTAATTAAAGAGTTAATATCACACGACCTACCTACCCTGCCCTATCTTCATCAATAAAGATACTTAGGGTCTTAAAAATCTGAAATGAAAAACTATCATCATAGTAATTTTTCTTACTGTTGGCATTGTTTTACCAAAATAACAAAGACCAGTGCATATTAAAATCGTAAGACATCATGTTTTAGTTTTTCGTTAACAGTTAGAATGGCTACAGAATCAAGTTGAAATCAAATTGAAAGTAGGTTATGGGTTATAGCCTTGTTATCTGGCATTCTACATTTATTACCACAGTGAAGATGTACTGCCTTAACTATTTTGCACATTAACAATGGTTTGTCTAGGAGTAACACATGCCAGGATACCAGACAACAGTAGCACTGGCTGTGATGGTTAGGTGTCTATCACCTTAGTTGGGCCACAGTCCTCAGTGGTTTGACAGATGGTATGTCAATTATGGAGTGGTGTACTATGACAGCTGTAACGGTGTGGCCATTCTTCATTGTGTGGACTGATATGCTCATCCTCTATTTTCACACAATGACGTGGTTTTTGGAATCTAACCATGTCGAGTGGGTGTCATATAGTAACTGGTGAAAGGGGATAGCACCTAAAACATCTGTAAGTGGTTTTTAAGTGGTTTTTAATTGCTTGTCTAGAGAGAAGGGTAGAGATGTGTAAAACACAGTGACCCCCCTTTTGTTGTAATTCTGTTTAGTGTTATCCAGCCACTATTAGCTGCCATTTAATGATAATTTGTTCTTCAGAAATTTAAGCCTAATAGGATTTGGGGGAGAGACTGCTGACAGTAGAGATGGTGTATCAGTGGAAGTCTGTTTCAAGAAAGGGAGAAGTATTTTATAGCTGGAAACAATGTGTGATTATAGGAACATATTAACATGACAGAGAAAGAAAATGGACTTCCACCTGGGGGAGTTAGGAATAATTGTAGCTGTTATAATAATGAATCTCTTTGAATTAGGACTTTCTCCTAAGGTGGGACCAGACAGGCTGTCTTTAACAGAGGAGGAATGGAAAAGAGGCGCAAGCAGCAATTGGAGTGCCTATTATCTCATATTCGCTTCTTAAATCATGTTATAAACCAAATTTTATAAATAAAACAAGTACAACTCAGGCAGACCACACTAAAGTAGTAGAACTGAGATTTATACCTTGCTCTGTCTTACTTCAAAGCCTGTACCCCTAGTTAATGCAGAAGGAGTAAAATCGGCAAGTATGTACCGGTAGAGGTAGGGTTTGCTCTCCCACTCTCTGCAGAGGTTGGGTTGTTTCCATACTGACAAGTCAGTTTTCATTAAAGGACCCAATGTAGTAACAACTAAAACCAGTATGGCCTTAGTTCTTTGACATGATTTTGTTTTAGGAGACCAAGTTTTAGCACGGCCTTCTGACTGTCTATGCTGTATTTACCTCGAGATAGGCGTTTAGTGTTCCATTGGCTGTTCCTGGTAACCTCAGTTTCTTATCTTTGAAGTTCCTAAACTGGAAGATGTTTGTGGTTCATTGTAACATCAATTCATTATCTCTTCCCCACTTCCCCTCAGTAAGTTTCTCCTTAAATTATGAATTGCTAACAGTCAGGGTTCATGTTGTCTTTATTACTGATTTTAAAAATCCACAATTGGTCAGATTGTGTAAGTCAAGTAGCCAAAAGTTGGCTGATAAAGCTGAGAGCCATCTGATGTAGCAAAAGTATTTTTTTTTATTAGTTCTTACCTTCATCCAGGGAAAGAGAGCCATTGGAAAGGGTCTTAGCCATCTCGTGCTGCTATAACAGAAAGACCGCATGTGGGTGGATCTAACAAACAAACGTGTTTTCTTACAGTGAAGGAGGCTACACGTTAGAACTCCAGGTACTGGTTCTAGAGGAAGGCTGTCTCTGAAAATTCAGAGGAAAGCCCTCATCTCTTCTGAGCTTCTGCTCCTGGGCTTTCTCTTCTTCCCCTGTCTCTGCTAAGTAGCTTGCTTGTTAACTCGTTTAAATCACAAAAGAGATGGACTCATTACTAAGTCTGGCGGTAACATACTGAAGACAGCCCATTTCTAAATGGGATGATAGCCACAGTTTTAGAGGGTAGGAGTCATAGCACTGATTTGGGGGAAACATACTTTATAATAGGCAGCAGTCCCAAAATGCAGGGTTTTCTTCTCTTAGGGTAACTCTTGCCCAGTGGCCACTTGACTGGTGGCCACTGCTGGCACACAGGAGTACCCTAATGCAGTACCACATCAGAGGACACCATTCCAGACTGACTAGAAATGCCCAACCTGGGCTTACCATCCCTTACAGAAAGCTTAGTCCCTCTCCCTTGCTCCTTTGCCAGGAGGATTGTTTTAAGGCATTTCTTTCTCCAGGTTGCTTCGAAAGAAGCATCCGCTCTTAGTATACGCTCTACTTTACCTCCCATCTGTTCTCCTTTAATGTTCGCTCTCTTCTGATTATTTTATTTCCAATAGCATCTAGGGGGGATTTATCCATTAAACCAGTGCTTTTAAATTGTGCTCTGTGTTGCCCCTAAACATGAACCTCCTGCTGTATGCTACGAAGAGCATGTCCTTAGGTCTTGGGAATTTTATGAGGGGAATACGGATTTGCATGACGCGCTCGTATGTGTGTGTACTCTGCAAATGTACAGAATTGTATCAAGTTTGACTTCAGAAGATGACATGGAAATTTGCAAGCTGCTCTGGTTAGCAGTTTAATGATTAACCTATAGTGCTACCAGAACTTAGAAAAACATCTTAGGTTGATCAGGGTAGCTTTGCTAATTTATGCTTATCTTTGGGGTTCATTCCATTTTCTTTTGTAAAATGGAGAGAAATGATGCCCTTCCTGTCTGCTCACAGAGCAGATCATCCCAACACAGATGAACTCTTAGTGTGAATTCCTTTGTAGACTGGCCAGGAAACTGCCTTTGTGGGAACAAAGCTGGCGCATTGTCTTCCCTCATCATACACTTCAGACATCCATCATCCAAGATTGATAGTCTTGTCAATATTACTTTCACAGGAGTTTCAAATGATTGGTATGCAACACTTGACATACTAAAAGAGAGCTGTCGGATTGCCAGCAGTGTTAATTGGTCAGATGTAGACCTTTCACAGTTCCAAGGTGAGTGTGGTTCCTTTTGGCATATAACCAAATTGTATACAAATGTTACTGTTGTTTTTCTAGTAGATGATACATTTCTTTGTAAAAGAGATACTGCTTTCTTTGAAGTGGAACTAAGTATCCTTGATGTAGAGTTTCTTTTACAGTAAGATCATAAGTATACTTAAAAACTTTAACTTGAAAAATTCACTGTAAAATCCCTGGATCAATTGGTGTAACATAGGGTCACAGACAAGAACTCTGAAAGAAATTTGTGCATATTTAAAATAATCAGACCAAAACAACAACAAAAAAAACCCAACCAGCTGCTGTTCATTGCATGGCCAAATCTACCGTAATCTTCAACGTGGCAGTAGAAATTCTGTGGGCTCAGAAAGTTTGCCGTACTCCGTTGTCTTGCAATGCTTGCAGAACTAACCTCACGGGATTTCTTCTGTCTCTCGCACAGGTTTGATGGAGAGTATGAGACAAGCAGATCTCAAGAACTGGTCTTTAGATCAGGTCCAATTTGCAGATCTCTGTTCTTCTCTTAACCAGTTCTTTACGCAAACTGGCCTTATCCACTCACAGAGCAATGTTCAGCAACATGTGTGCCATGGTGCCGTGCATCCAACAAAACCCTCCCAGCACGTGGGGACAGGTACGGCCTCGTTACCTCTTGTCTGTCTTCCCGATTCATTCATGAGACGCAGCTCCGTGTGGGAGCAACACTAGGTTATGGACGTTTCTTAGATACCCATCTCTGTGGACACACACACAGCAAATTGACGTGTTGATGAGACCACACTATTTCTTTAAACAATAACTTATTTAAAAACAACATAATTAACCACTATTAACTTACAAATGCAACTACGATGCGCTATAGCTGTATAAAATAGTACACAGCATTTGAGATGCTGGTTGACAGTAAAGGGGTCGCTTGGGTCAGTCAGTATGACAATCTCCGTTGCACTGTTTATCTTTACACTTGATGTTTACTTGTTAATTGACCATTTTACTGGATATCTTATCAATACTACAGAAATCTATAACTCAATTACATCAAACGAACGTATACAGGTACTGCCATCATCATTTCAAAACATTTTCTTTCTACTTGAGCCCCTTGATATCAGCTCCTCTTTATTCCCCCCCCCCCATGAAGCCTTAATAAATTATATATTATTATTTTTTCATAGCTTACACTGTCCAGTATATTCTTTTGCCCACAGTTCTGTTATTCTTCCCCCTCGAGGGGGGTTTGATGTTTATTTTCTAAGAACTTTTTGACCATGTTCATATTTATTAATGAATCGAGTCAAATTGACAGGTATCTGTAGAGATAGGTATACCACACAGAGAATTTCGTGATTAGAAGGCTTGGAAAAAAATGAATTCGGATATGTATTTGTCTCATTAAATGGACAAAGTCAGCATAAGTTAAGGTGGGGTAAATGTAAATGGTTCCTGTAACTTCCATTGAGGAAACCTAGTGTTAATAGTGGCAGTGATCCATTGACATCTTTTTACTTGTAAAAAATGAATGAAAACAGATTATTATCTAAGGTACATGGTAGAAAAGTTTAAGTAAATAGGCTGTGTCTTTGTAGTGGGTTTACATTCTTGTTTTATTGTTCACAGTTTACTTTTCTTAACTTTTATTAAGTTATCCAATAAAATTTACATGTCTTGGAGACATGGCTTACATTTTTATAGGAACCTACTTATAAAATGATAATTAAGTTTGTACAGGCTTGAAATGAAAATTAAAATGTCATACTTTATAGATCTGCGAAAATCATAAACATTCAAGCTCAAAGCCCAGCTTCTTGGATTATTTGCTCGGCATGAAGGTTGAATGCGAGAAAGTTAAGCCCATAGTCATTGAGTCAGTTCCCACTCATGCCACCCTGGAGCACAGAGTAGAAATGCCCCTTGGAGGTTCTGGGACTTCAAGTGTTTATTGGAGCCAGGCAGCCTCATCTTTGTCCTGTGTCTAGACTGCCAGTTTTGTACTTGGCATTGCACGCAGCACTCATGACAGCCATCAGAGCTGCTTACAGATTGGATAAGGATGGTGAACAGGTGTGAGCCTGACACTTGCTTTCCCTGATTTTCAACTATGCACATCTCTGTTCTGTGTGAACGGCAACCTTTGGTTTGTGCACGGGTCCCCATGACCACAGTTAAATTAAGCATTTGAAGTCCTCATGCTGGGGAAAATTCGTAGTATCCTTAGTTTACTGTGATCCACATAGTCAAAATGACACAGAGAATATCTTTTTGGTAGTCTCTGCTTTCAGCCAGGATGCTTCCCTGCAACCATTTTGAGTTATTACCAGTGTAATTAGTTGATTTAAAAAGCTTTATTCTGATTGCCAGATATATAACGAAAGGAATGTAATCTTAGGAGCGGTGGTCCAGGGTTCTGTTCTTGGTCCTGTCCTCTTTTCCCTCTAGTTCAGCCAAATGTAGGCTCATTACCTTGAAGAGACCATTTTTTCCCCTTCTCCTTTTTAGTTTCTTCTGTGAAAATAGCTGCTGTTTCTTAGTTTCATTACAATATTGCTGGGATGCGAGTGTAATTCATGTGCAACACTAGAACCCCTTAGTAAAACTGCATTTCTAAAATTCCAGATGATCCTTACAACATAAGCCAGTTTTTAGGGTTGTCATTTTATTGAGGGCAGGGCGGGTGATCATAATGTTTGTTCCCCTCCCTGTCTGCTATGCATTATGGTACAGTGTAATTGGTTTTAGCATTTAATGGCTCCCATCAACTAACATATATCAATGTCTGAAATGCCATTTAAGTGAGATCCATGTTACCTATCCCTATACTCATTCCTTTTACCCCTTGTATATCTTTTCTATGCTTTATACTTCGTAGCCACTAGGGCACACGTAGTTAAGAAAATCAGGGTAATAGAGACAGCACTTTATAAAAGGAACCCGTGGATAAAAAGATCTGGTACTAGCCTTCTGTCAAACTGATGTATCATTGGACAAGTCCCTTTAACCTTTTTGAGCTTTAGCGGCTTCATCCATAAAATGGGAATAATAATCCCTGCTTTGCTCTCCTGGCAAGTTTTAGTGAGAGGCTTAGATGAAATGTTGAATAGGGACTGCTTTTGAACTGTAATGAAATACATCATGACAGACACTTAATAGGAGAGCTAGAATTAGTACCAGTGTACTCACACAGTATTTCTTCCCCTCTTCTCCCCACCTTACCTACTTATTAAGTTACGGATCACAATTCTGCCAAGCTTTTAATGTGTGATTTGTTTAACTGTGTATATTAACATGTTTTCCTTCTTTCTCTGCTTTTCGATTTGATTAAGGGAATTTGTACATAGACTCTAGGCAAAATCTTCCTCCTTCAGTGATGCCGCCCCCTGGTTATCCTCACCTCCCACAGACACTCAGCACTCCAGGAACAACGATCGCAGGTGATTTGTGTGCGCGTGTCCTCACTGTGAGAATTCCAGCAGTGAGCCCAGACTGCCTCAGGAAGAAGTGAACTTCCTGCCGTGGGTAGTGACTTAGTTCCAGTGCTAATGAAAGGGTTCAAATGTCAGTTGGTATGTGGATCATATGGCCTAAAGTCTCTTGGAACCAGGGATTCTCTAAGAGTCTACTTGTCCTGCTTCTCTGAGAGTCATTGGCTCTTAACTTTCCTTGGCTACTCTATTTTGAGTGGACTTCAGCAGACTTCGGGAGCTTAAGTAGATTAGCTCCCATATTCTCTTCCAGTCAAAGCAGTGGAGTTCCCCAACTGCAGTGTCTAGGGAAGTACCTCCCAGAGCAAGTACATGGTAGCCATTGCTAAGTTCTGAGATGGAGGATAAGGTCCTTGTAGCAGGGAAAGAGGATACTGTGAAGACTGGAAAGGCCGTAAGGCTTTCCCAGATGAGGAAGTGAGCTTCTGAAAGGGAAAGATTGCATGTCCCAGGCCAGCCAGTGGGATAAGTGATGAAACCAAGACTCAGACCCAGGTGTCTGGATTCAGAGCCCATTGCTTTTCTCATATCTCCCACCCTCCTTTCCTTAGGGGATGTGAGGAAGACACTCAAGTTAATGTGCGTGAGGTGGAGGGGGGATTAAAAATCCCAAAAGAATGGTGTGCCAGGCAGTAGTGAAGGCAAGTTGAGTCCAAGTGAGAGGCGATATGCAGGGAAAGCAGGCAAACTAGATTGCCAGGGCTTGAATCCTGGCATTTCGCCACGTAGCTGTGTGATAGTGGACACGCCGTCACACCCTCTCATTGTCTCTGTCTGTAAATGGGCATAACACTGCCTACCTCATGAGGTTGTTAGGAGGGTCAAATGTAAAGCACTTGTAAGTGAATACTTGGCACATAGATGGGGGGTTATGCTTTTTAGTTAAAGTATTTTTGCTGTACTGTGAGGTAATGAAAACCTGTAAATTGCTTAACAATTTCAGGACTTAAGAGGAAATCAGACTAGTGGCAGACTACTCAATTTTGTAGTCAGATTACTAACAACAACTGTAATAATCCAGGGGAAAAGCTGGCTCTGGTTAAAGGCTGTGCTTGATTTTTAATAGAATAAACTCTTCAGGTGATTATAGACCTTTACTTAGGAGGAAGGGAAAGAAGGAAGGAGAGAAAAAAGGAAGAGGTTGGTGGTTTGGAAGAGGTCTGTCAATCTAGGGGGACAAGGGCAGAGTGCAACACAATGGGGCACACACGTGAAGCCCCGCCCAACTGCTGCAGAGAGTTGGGGGGGGGGGGGTGGTATCTTGCACTCACTGTGCTCCAGGGGCGGGGAGGTCCTGTTGTTTTCTGCTTTTGAACTTGGTGGCCCCAAGATTAACTTGTTGGAGATCTTCCATGTGAACTCAGTGTGACTTCAGTGTTAAGCGGACATCAGTCTCTGCTTACCATTCTCAAGTTCCCACCTGCCTCCTTTCTTCCAGGCCACCACGGAGCCATGAGCCAGCAGCACATGATGCCTTCCCAAGCCTTCCAGATGCGGCGCTCCCTGCCTCCAGATGACATCCAGGATGACTTTGATTGGGATTCAATTGTGTAGGCTTGTGTCTGCGAGCCACCAACCCCCAACGCCACCTTTCTCAGCAGCGGAGGGAAAGGTGTAAAAGAATCCAATTGAGAAAACAAAGTTGTTAATCACTTTGCCAATGTTATCAAAAGTTCTTTTGAAGACAATCACAAAGATTTGAGCTGGAGAACATACTGCTTCTGTCTGGGCCCGACAAGTACGACATGTCTGTCTCCCTGCCAGCTGCCCTGTGCAGCTCCTCACTGTGGTGTGACTTGGACGCTTTTGCATTTTTGTGTCAGTTTGATGTTGACCACAAGTGCCAGACTGATTTTTCTGACAGAGCCTATTTTGCTGCAAGCAATTTATAGATCCATATGTGTAAATACATGTACAAAAATTACTGAAAGGTTTCTTTTTTTAATTGGATTGTTGTGTCTTGAAAAGAAAAAGTTACTGTGAGTTTTTATTTCTTATTAGGCAATTTTCTGCAGGATACTTTTCATTGATGTAAGCAACCGAAAGGAAACTGGTTTTTCCAAAGTTCATTTCCTCTTGTTGAATCCTTTTCAGAAATTTGGGTAGTGAATTTGACCCAGTAAGTCAAGGAATCTCAAGCTTGATACTGTCTAAAAAATCTGAATGGGCATATTGTTCCTGAGCAGCGCGAAGGAAGTGACCATTGCGTTTCGTACTTGGGGCCGCTGGCGTTTATGTGTGCCTTGTCTCGGTGTCTGTGTTGCTCAGTCAGCATTGTGGTAGTCTCAAACGTATTTGATCAACTAGAAGCTGGGCTTTGTTTGACTCTCTAAATAAATCATTGCCTCCATACTCACTTATGTATTTATTCTTTTAAAGTGTTATTTTAATATTTATTACTACCTTCCACGAATGCTCAGCTCCCGATGGCTTCCTTAAGAAGAATTGCAGTCTCTGAAAGCACAGAACCCTTCTTCTTGGTGCGAGTTTACAGACAAGACAATCAGAGAGTGGTGTGATTTTCTTTCTCACTTCTCCTCTTGCTCTCGGTTCTCCTGCCTGAGGCTGACTCGTTGAGGAGGGTTTACTGGGGCAACAGACCAGCAGGGCAGTGTGAGCGAGCGCTTCCCATGTGCTCTCCTTCCACAGGAGCAGCACTGAGATGAGGGGAGAGCGCCACGTGGCCACGGTGGGCCATCCAGGGGCCACTGTGTGTGTGTGCGCCACACGGTCACGGTCTCTGAAATGCCGCCTGCCCTGAGGGTTCGTTGATTGTATTTAACTTATTTCCTGTCACCTCCTTTGCATAGATTTAGTTAGTTTTACAAAAAAACTACAAGTGAAACATTTAAATGAGTAGACCAAAAACAAAAGGCAACATAGTAATTCTAATGGGAAACTGATATTTCATCAAATCAAGGAGTAGTAACTGCCTGTGGCTGCTTTTTAGCATCTCTGGTCTCAGCCATGCTCAGATTACTTTCTTAGCCTTAGTAATTCTGTGGTTAAGTAACTCTGTTTGAACTAAACAAGCGTCTTTGTTTCTGTGTGTGTGTGTATGTGAAAGTTGTGTGTGTGCTTATTTTGTAATGGAGTGCTCCCCCCGAGTGAGTCACTGGGAGACCCCCCCCACAGCGTCAGGGCTGGTGAAGTGTGGAGGAGGGAGGAGGAAAGGCTTTCGGGTCCTCCATTGTTTGGACCCTGCTTGGCTTGAACCCTTAGATCAGCTCAATTGGAGGATTCTGGAAAGGCCTCTCTCAGAAGGACCAGAGGCAAGATGAGATAGTGGCCTGCAGAGTGACAGCGTGGGGAGAAAGGAGGGCTTCTCAGTAGTCTGCTCAAGTCCCTGCTTTCTGGACCCAAAGGGGCGGTTCTGAAACGGTTTGAATTGCTTTGGCAGCAGTATGCACTTTCAACCCTGTGGGTATGGGAATGTGGCCCCTGAGTCTGAGGGATGTGGATGGAAACCACTGATGAGGAGTTTACAAATTGTGTGAAACCCATTTCCCAGTTGTCAGTCATACACTGACTTGCAGTGATCAATATGTTTCAGCGAATTTAAACATCACAAGTCTGGCCCTAGAGGCAGGACCTCTACTCAGACCCTTCCCACTCTCCTGTAATCTGACTGGTGAGGCCCGGCAGGTCCCTTGAGGGGCCATTTCAGTAGGTGGTGAGCTCTGTCCTGAGCTTACATTGAGACTTTAGGGACAAAGAATAATTAATGCATGCAATCAAATGGGGCACTCTGTCTGGGAGAATAATCCGACTGGCATTTGTGGCAGTTTTTGAAAATGTAAATGTGTTCATGTGTGTTCTTGCTTGTAAATACATGTCTCTCAGATGTCCTTTGAAGTGGGAGGGACTCAATTGGGGATTATTTCAAATGGAATAGAGTATTTTGATATTGTTCATTCAGAGGGTGATGTGTACATATCTCTCTTGTATATATGTGATGGAAATGCATTGGCTTTTTGTGCAGACACAGCCTGCTCTCCGTACTGCTGTTGGACAGTCAGTGTTTTAATGTTTCTACAGTTTTGCTATTGCACGCGTTCATATTTCGCCTCTATGATGAACAGCACCCTCTCTTTGTAATTGTTTAGTGCTGTAAAGAGATACTCCCAAGTGTCATTAGGGTGGTTGCTGCCAGAATTGATATGCATGAATGGCACTTAAAATAAATCTATTATGTTCACTCTACCCCTCCCTGCTGGGTTTGTGTCATTTGTTCTGGTGAGGAAGCAAGGCTGGGGCTGCCCTTGGCGGGCTCTGAGGTGGACCCCTGCTGGCACGTCACAGTAAGTGCTGCCCTTTTCTGAGGAGCTTACTAGCTCTGCAGACTTGGGGAAGTTGTTTGATTTCTTTGGACCTCGTTTTCCTGCACTTCAGTGCCTCTCAACTGAGGACAAAACTGTCTCCCTCCACCTTGTCGCAGGTTAAATTAATGAATACATTTAAATAAGTAGAACAGTGCCTGGCACATTATAAACAGCAGCGTGCATGAACCTCTAATTGTTGTAGTTTCTAGTAACAGTAACAGTGATGGCCTCTCCTGGGTCCAGGTGCTGTATTCCTCGTTTGAGAGACGTAAGACCAGCACAGGCCGAGCAGTGAAAGGACTGGCCCACGCTGCTCTTTGAGCTGGCAGTTGGCAGCACAGAGGTCTGAGGTTAGATACTTGACGTACAGCTGCTTGCATGCTCATGAGTTCGTCACAATATGCCCAGGGAACCTCTGGCCTCACCCCACCCCACTAGCTGAACGCCTTTCCAGGACACTATTTCCCAGAGTGGTGGTGGAGCATTGCTTAACACTGCTGAGCATTTATGCCGTGGGGCCCTCCCATTAGAGAGTTGGAGACAAAATAGCCTCGCTTCTGCTTTGGGGAGAGGTGAATGGGAAATCAGATTTGCCAGAGACAGGTAGTAAATGCCAATCAAGGAAACTTCCCAAGGAGGCAGGCAGCCAGCCCAGCTTGGTGAGGCAAGGGCAAGTGCCAGGGCAGTGGTTCGGAAGGCTTGCTGCTGGTGCTGGTTGTGTGAGTCTTCTACAGGCCCCACACAGGCGGGAGAAGGAGCTGCATGGGGCTGAGCAGGGAGAACCAGTGTCCAAAGCAGTGCTGTGAGAGCCGGGTCTTGCTGGTGAGGAAGAAGGCCCAGGAGGCTAAGCAGTGACCTGGTTAGCAACATGGGTGGCATGGATTTGAAACAGCTTAGCAGGTCTATCCCTGCCCAAGGACTCTGATGGCTTCTGACTTAGAAAGGCCTGCATACCTGTTTTTCACATAGGAGAAACAGGTTAGAAAGGTTGACTTGCTGAAGTTAGTTCTGGGATTGAGTTAGTCTTGGCCTATCTCCAAAGCTCATCTGATTTGACCTCCTCCTAAAACTAAGGAGTTTCCCTCCAGGGCTGGCTGGCCCTTACTGTCCAGACCCCAGGACCACCCCGAAAGCTTCTAGATAGAGGGGGCCTTAGAAATCATAGAGCTCCTGCATTCTGCTGTTAGAACACTGCAACTCAACAGGTACTAACTGCCCAAAGCCACTCAGCTGGTTGGGGAGAAGGAGATGGGGAATGTCATTCACCCGAAAGCAATTTAAGATGCTCATGCACATTGCTGCATTTTATCTGCACAAGAACCTGAAGGTGCGGTACTGTGGCCCCATTTTACAGAAAAGGCAACCGCTCTCGAGAGGTGGGGTGCAATGGGGGTTACACGATTGCATTCAAGCACATCATAGGCAAGGAGTCATGCACACGTGGGCTGACAACAGAATGCACATGTTAACCTGGGGCTCATCCATCGGATGAACTGGCTGCGACGGGAGACAGCAGATTCAAATGTGAGAGCCTCCACAGTACGTACATCTGTGTTGTGTGCTCACGCGCACAGGGTGAGATTCACCTGCGTCAGACAGCAGTGCCCTTGGATGGAAGCCAGCTGCTTCCTCCAGTGTTCAGATTCTAGCCAAGAATTGGCCAGGCTGGGCTTACTGAGACCTGGTGCGTTTCTCTTCAGCATGGTACCTTCCTAAAAGCTTTTCTAAGGTAATTTTGAGGGCCCCCCTATGTGATTTTGAACATGTGCACTAGTGAGGTGCTAAGGGACCATACCAGGGCCAGAATTCAAGCCCAGGTCAGGTCTGTGTCCCACTCCCAACTCCCAAACAGTGATGTCCCCCAAAGTACAGAATACATAACTCACTGCCATCAAATCCGTTCTGACTCATAGTGACCCTGTAGGACGGGGGCTTGGGGGGTGGGGTGATTGTCCCCATGGGTTTCTGAGATGGTAACTCTAAAGCAGTGGCTATTAACCTGTGGGTCGTGACCCCTGTGGAGGTCGAATGACCCTTTCACGGGTCCCCCCGATTCAGAACTAGAAAAATTACAGTTAAGTGGCAGCAAAAATAATTTTATGGTTGGGGGGTCACCACAACATGAACTGTATTAAAGGGTCGCGGCAGTAGGAAGGTTGAGAATTACAGCTCTAATGGAAGAGAAAACCTAGTCTTTCTCCCTTGGAGCAGCTGGGAGTTTTGCAGGGAGCAGTTCAACACGTAACTACTATGCCGTCAGCTCCCGTGCACTCCTTACTAAATACTCGATATTGCTAGCATTCAATGGAGACCATCATATTTGCTGTTCCAAACAACTTCCTGTGGTAGACCCTACTGGGAATCTGAGCCATGGTGAGGTTGTCACTTGTCCAGGGTCATTGAGCTCGGGCAGAAGTAGTAATGATAGTAGCAATGCCCCATTGCTCATGAGTTAATTCAGACTCCCAGTGAACCGACATAGGGTTTCCAAGACCCGAAATCTTCAGGGAGCAGACAGCCTCTTTGACTCCGGTGGAGCCACTAGTTGATTTGGGTAGACTAGAGAAATTCATGGGCACTCGTGTGTCAGAAAGAGCTTTATATACAAGAGCAATTGAGTATTGAGAAAACAGCCCAGCCCGGTCCAGATCAAGTCCATAAGTCTGATATTTGCCCATGCACTTGATACTAATCTGTAAAGTCCTCTTCAGACTCATAAAACACATGCAGTGATGCCAAATGCAGGGAGATTACAGGCCAGTGGGTGGGAAGTCTTGTGAATCCAGTGGTGGTGTAAGCATCTCAGTGCTGGCAGGGGTATCTATGTGGTCCCTCCAGCTCAGGGCACTAGCGTAGTTCCATGTGTCTTACCAGCTGCAGTGTCTCGCAGGGAGTGAGTCTGTGTACCACCTCAAGCGAGCTACTTATCTCTGAGATGCCAAATGAGGTCACAAAGCTATGACCTGATTGACAGGCTAGACTTCACCCCTTTACTCTGAATCCTCAAATTGACACCAGATTATGTGACTACCACAGGGTTTGAACCACCGACCTTGGGGTTAGCAGTCTAATGTCTAACCCACACTGCCACCAGGGCTCTTTACATAGAAACAGTGGAGCTGGGATTTCAAACCAATGCCTGCACTCTTTACCACTGCACCTGGCTGGCCTTCATGTCCTCAGCACTGGCCCAGGAGTTTGGAAGTCCCTGGCCGTGCAAATAGATTAACACGCTTTTGGCCGATAACTGAGAGGCTGGGGGTTAGGCACCTTGAAAGAGAGGCCTGGCGATGTCTTTCCGGAAAACGAGTCTTTGGAAAGCCCTATGGAGCGCACAGTTTGTGGTTTTTATTTGGAGGGCCACAGGGCAGAGGAGGTCCTTAGCACAAAGCCACAGCCACTCACCGTGAAGCTGCAGTGAGCACCTGTGGCCACCAGAGGGCGGACTGCTGCCAGCTGTGCCTCTGCTCCTGGCCCTTGGGACTGCCCTTTCTCTGCAGCCCCCAGAGGTGGGAGCTCCCAAAGAAAGACAGGGATACCAGTAGCCCGCATTCACGATCCGGGTCCCTCTTCCGCCGCATCAGAGTCGGAGAAAACCAGGGCCCCCTTGTAGTCCTCAGACACAAATATGTGGGGGGGGGTGTGAGGTGGGGGTCTGCTCCAGCACTGCTTTTGAGCCTGCTACCTGCTCCCAGCCCTCTCCACTCCCAGGACTGGGCTCCGCTGTCAACTCCAGACACCACTGGAGGCTGGGGAGTGGCACAGGTGTGGGACGGACCACCCAGCCACGGGGACCCCAGCCCTGCCCCCAGCCCCTCCCCGGTCTGCCCCGCCCATGCTGCGTCCACACACCGCGCACCCCTAAGGCTACCATGGGCATTAGAGATTGCCACCCTTGCTCCACGGGAGCTCTCCGCCGCCGGTGCCTGGCAGGCATGATCTAAGGTTCTGGTCCCAACTGCCTGGGGAGCTCGGCGCCCTCTCTCCCTCTCACTGCCAGACAGTACCCCAGGTAGCAGGACAGGGCTTGGCCCCAGGTCACAGCGAGGGAGGGAGGCTGGGAGAAGAGCCTTCCGCCTGCCCATAGATGGTTTCTTTACAGCCGCCACGTGCCTGCCACCACACCCCATCCCACTCACCCCACCCGGGCCTGAGCTGACATCACTGTGGGCAATGACGCCCCTCACCTCCCCAGCTCCCCAGAGGTCACTCAGACAACTTCCTGTCCCAGACAATGGCAATCAGACGCCCGAGGACACTTCCCACCCTTCCCAGGGCCGGAGGACACTTCCCACCCTTCCCAGGGCCGGTGACGTCCATAGGCAGAGCCCTTCCTGGGAATAGTCTGAGTGCAGGACCTCGTGTGAGACTGCACGTGCGTGTGTCATGTCTGCTCGGGCTTCTCAGGCAGGAGTGTAGGTGGTTGGGTAAGGATGACTGGGCCCTGTGGCCTCTTGTGTCCGTGTGTCTGTCCCCTTGTGGGTGGTTGTGTGGTCACGTGACTGTGACTATGTGACTAGCTCCGCTGGCTGTGACCAGGTGACGGCTGTGTGTTCTCGGCTGCAAATGGGTAGAGGCACTCCTTCTGCTTGGGCCATAAAGCTGGCTCTCCATGTGCCCCTTGCTCCTTCTGGCTCTAGTGGCTCCCCTAAGCACTCCCTCTGCCTCGCAGGGCCCAAGCCCTTGGAGACACATGCCTGGGGGGCCTTTTTGGGTTCCCGGGCACTGTCAGGCTGGACCCGGTGTGGCTAACACACATGATCCCTCTTGCCTATCCCATCACTGCCTTTGTTATCCCTGTCACTCTGTCCCTGCTTCATCCCTTAGGGCTGGTGCCCAAATCTGTCGTCTCCTGCCTACCCAAGCTTCTGTGGCCAGTCC